AAGGCTCGCCTCCTGGACCCTGTCAGATGAAATTCTCTTGCAGACGGGGTCCGTAGCATGCTCTCTCTGCATGACGGGGTGGGGCAGGTTGATATAATGGGGATGAGACAGTCCTTCAGGTACCCTGGACTCATTTAAAGAAGTTCTTATTTTCCCCTTCGTGGTCTTTTTTCCCATGTGCTTCTCAAACACTTTTTTTGCATACCTTGTTACCACAGTTGTTCTCTTTTTTATTTTCATTAGGACAGGGTTTCCATTTTTTAGAGGTTTTCCCCTTTTTGCCAGATATAACTGTGTTGGACCTGCTGGCAGTTTTCAGTTTGCATGAATACTAAATGAAATAGCATTTAGGCAGTGTTTCCCTATTGGTTCCTATTGGATCTGGTTGTGCCAGAATATGGTCACTACTTAGGATTAAATCTAAGGTTGCCTCACTCTTATTGTTTCCGAACACATTATCCTAAAGCACAATTATTTAGGATATCTAGACTTTTGTTTCCTTTGGCATGGCCTGAGCATGAATATACCCAGGTTATGTGAGAGGAATTAAATCCCCCATTAGTAAAAGAACTTGTCATTTCCATGCCTCCCTGATATCTTACATCTCAGGGTCACCCTCAATATTTTGATCAGGTGGGCAATAGCATATCCCTTGATTTAATTTACATTTGTGGCCAGTTATTACCACTCACAGTGTGTCAGCCTTATGAGACCAGACAGGAAACACAGCCAGATGAGCTAATTCTACTTTATTCTAAGATTACATTAACATAATCTTGGAAGTCTGAAACTACTTCTCTTCCCCATCCCCTTTAGAGCCCAAAAACTAGGGAGGGTCTCTTCTGAGCCTCTTGCCCTGCCCACATTCCTACCTTGGGTCAAACTGCTTTTTATCGGACTGTTCCCTTGGTTCCATCTTGTTGCCCTGCCTCCCAAGATCATTCCCACATACCATTATACAGTGGTTGTATGGAGGAATTTGGTCTTCCAGTGTTGTCTAAAATGTTTGATTGTACACCTCACCTGGGGGCAGGGAGGACTGGCCTGCCATTGCTCTAAAAGCTGTCTCCAGGGTTAGGGTATTTATATCTAGGAATTAATATCTTCATTCCATTACATTTCTGTTGTAGCCACTATATCTATATTCTAATTTGCAACTAAATACTCTAATTCCTCCTCAGCTTGGCTCAGAGACAACAAGCATTGGCCTAGAAACATCTGTATACCATGTCCTTTTTCAAATGTTATTAGCATGAACCTTCTTCACAGCCTTTATGTCTCCTGGCCAACCTTTATTTATCTATTTGATATACATGTATGCTACCCAATCATGCTCAAGGTAATTGTAAAGGGCTGAGAGAATAACTTTGGGAAACAGAAGGACCACATGGTAGACAATAGTCTGATAAACGAAATCTGAGTCCAAAGGAGAGATAGGGGTGGACAGAGCATATCAGAAGGGACCTTCCCTAGTTCTCTGGAATGTAAAGGCAGGGGAAGGGGAAGTGCTTTCAGACTTGCAAGAACAGGCAGAATAGAAATCATAGAAAATCTCAGCCACCCTCCAACCTACTATAAAATCCCAAGGCAAATTACATAAAAGCCATGCCCAGAATAAAATAAAATCAGAACAACTCCCAGCCATCCACCCAAACGCAGCCTTAAACCACTTCTAGTGCAAAAGTGCTTCTCAAAAAAAGGGGCTGTCTTAACAGCCATATGAAAAACCAGCAAGTTGGGGACCAAATGAACCTTGGTTAAGGTGTTATACAATTTTGGAGTCCCCACTGAGAAAGATTGCTTTGGAGCATCCCCTCATCTCACATTCCCCCTCTGAAGGCCTCATAGAGTGGGCACATTCTAGTTAGAAAATTTGATCCTGAAAATAAGCTGCAGCTGAATTGAGCCATGTAGGGATTTCTGGGTTAACATCAATACTTTGAATTGGACCTAGAAACCTACTGGCAACTAGTGCAATAACCATAGGTGTTACAGGTGTTATACTACTGAAGCAATTTACTCCACTGTGTAAGTGGGCTACCATGTTCTAGATCAGTTGCAATTTCTGAGTCATCCTCAAAAGGAGCATCATGTAGAGTGCATTACAGAAGTCTAATTGCATGGTAATAAAGATATGAGGCATTGTCACAAGAGCTTCTCAGTTCAAACAAGAGCAATTGGTACACTGACCAAAGTTGGGCAAAGTTTCCCCTGGTCATGGCTAAGCAAGGAAAACCCCAAGACTTGCTGTTTCAGAAGTACAACTCTGTCCAGAGCTAACCTAGTAATCAAGAAGTCAGATTGTTTACCTATGAATAGTACCTTCATCATGCTGGAATAGAGTTTGAGTTTATTTTGTCCTACCTTGTCCTTCATAGCCTCCAGATACAGTAAGAACTTCCTCTGCATTTTTGGCCCAGCCAGGAGTGATATTGTATTTTGTCACTATCTTACTGATAATCCCTCACTCCAAACCAACAGATGACCTATTCCAGCAATTTCAGATATATGTTAAATAACAAGGAGAGAGCTGAACCGTGTGTACGCCACACTGAAATAGCCAAAGGCTCAGCTGCTCCTCATCCATGATCACTGACAGGAACTGCTCATTTAGGAAATCAGAAAACTACCATTAAATTGATGCCCACAACTCCCAGGCAATCCAGAAAGATACCATGATCAGTGATATCAAACACTACATAGAGATCTCCTAGAATCAGGAAGGATACACTCCTTCCATCCAGGTACCAAAGAAAGTCATCCTCTGTGGCAACTGAAGATGTTACTCAGATGAATGGAAGTTTATCCATAACTACTTGTGCTGCCGCATTCTGGACCAGCTGTAGTTTCCAAATGGTCTTCAGGGGCAACCTTATGCAGACTGCATTGTGATATTCCAACGGTGAGATAATAAGGCAAGAATGACCACAAATAACACCTCCAGGAAAGTGTCTACTGGTCCATAGGATAGACTGTGCAAAAGCCCTTCTGGCCACATCTGCCACCTACTTTTTGAGTAAGAGTAGGAGAGTTTGTGAGTCCAGGAGGATCCTAAGTTACATTCCAGTTCTGCCTGGTGAAGTACAACTCTGTCAAGAACTAAAGTGGGTAGGTCTCCTGCAAACTGAATGTTGATGAAACCACAGCCACTCAGTCTTGCTAGGACTGAGCTTGTTCCTTTCCCTATAAATCCTAACAGTCTCCTGATATCAAGACAGAACCACAGTAGAATTCTTTGGTCAGCCAGGGGTCTAAATATACAGTTGGGTGTTGCCTGCATATTGATGATATCTGTCTGTATATGTTGGCAGATGACTTCATCCAGCAGTCTCCTCCAGTTAAGAAAGGTGGCACCCATTCATTAAAGAGGCATTTGTCACTTCTAAATCCCAATGCACCCCCCTTCCAGCTGCCCACAGGAAATGGGTGGGGCATCATCCAGCACATAGTGATGGAGTTCATGCTACCAAGAACCCTATTCACTTCTTCAGACTCTATAATCTCAAAAGCATCCCAGATAACTCTTTAAGACATCATCTCAGGCAGCTCACCTGACTCTATCCAAGTGGTGTTTAACCCAGGACAAATGTGATTTTATCTACAAAGAATCTCACAAATATATCCCAGCAGAGGAATCTTCCAACTCCCTCCTTTCAAGAAGGATGCAGGTAACTCTGAAAAGAGCTTCTGGACAAGAATATACAGAAGCTATAAGAGCAAAAATGGTTTACTATTCTTATAATCTATGTATACTCCCAGATGTGGGACTTTATTGTGTTCAGTTTCATTCATTTGTTTTTCCATCAGCATTGTGCTGGGCATCTTTTCAAGTGTTTAATCTCTTGGAGCTCTTCAGTGAATCAAGTTCCTCAGTGAACTGATGTCCTCCTTCCCCAAGACCTTTATTCTTAATAGCAAGAGAGCTCTCAGACTAAGGGTGGGACAAAGCTGTCACAGTTGAAAAGGTTTCATTTATATACCTGTCTGTCTAAGCATCACCAGCTTAATCAACTTGGTTTCAAGGGAAAGGACTTGGTCCAAGTGCCAGGAGTTCATTGCACTAAGCACCAACATAGAACTTAATGCCCAGTAGATAGATGGTCATAGATTTGGAATTCTACAGAATTAACTGGAAAGCACCCTTGCCTTCCTGCTTTTCCATCTTCATTTATAGTTGTAATTGCTTATCATTGATGGGCTTGGTTTTGATTTCACTGCAAGAACAAAGAAAATAACTTCATTTTGATGAGATCCAAATCAGGCCATCCTGTTAAAGGATAGCAGTCTAGAGTATATCGATTTCAGGACTGCATTATAAATGTAAGCTTTCCAGCAGCTGTGTGAAGTTGGCACCATAGTATACTTTTCTTTAAAACTTGAATCACTGATGTCCTAATACTAGAGTTGTGACTGTAATCAAGGCAGTCTATAAATGTGATTAAATAAACAGACAATACATAACAACCTGTGACTCCTGGTATATCTGAGCTTGACATATAAAACAATGCTACAACTGCCCTTAAATAATGAAGTTAGTTAAGTAGTGCTGACTATCACATCCTATAAGTTGCTGATGGTAATCAAAGCTATAAGACGCTTTATGTTCTTCAGGGTGTGGTTGCTGATACCTCTCCACAGACTGTAGCACCTTCATCACAGGAAGCCAGTGGTCAGCAGCAACAGATGGCAGTGGAAACATCCAGTGAACATGCATCTGCATATTCGTACCAACAGTCAAAGTAAGATTATTTTAATTCCTCTAAAAATCAGATTTATTCTTAAACCCAGTTCCAGATTCATTAAGAGCTTCAGTGTCCATATGAACATTGTTGGCACTGACGAATTGATGCTAATGATAGGCTAAATATCACTTGTTTTATTTTTCTGTTTTAAGTTACACACATAAATTAAGTTACACACATAAATATACTTTTTGTTTTGTTTTGTTTCTGCCTGGGTAGATATACAGATAAACAATCCGAGTTTGTCATCAAGCACCATTAAAAAAGTGGATGGCTGCTGTTTCAATTTATATAAAGAATTATAATCCTGTTCACAAATTAAGCCCATCTAATTAAATGGGACTTTCTTGAAAGTAACAATGAGGATTGTGCTGAGGGAGCTGATGCAGCCTTCTAAGACTAAGTGATAAATACATGATCGAGGTGTTGAACCCTTATTACTTCAGTAATACATGCTTATTACTTCAGTGTACATGCTAACTATAATAACAGAATGGCTGTAGTTGTATGGGGGGAAAAACAGGCTTTCAATCCTTTCAACAAAAGTTTGAAAACTGTTTGGGTCAAATGTGCAGCCTACTTTTCTTCCAAATCAAAATTGGAGGTCTGCTTCATTTTACATCCAAGAGAAGCCAGCTTCTGAAGGACCCACCTCTTTATATCTATGTGAACCACTGCTCTATGAATGCACTCTTCTTGGAAAAATATAAAAGCAAAGCAGTCCTCATGCAAAAACAGGAAGTTTCCTTTGAGGAAGGGAAGTCTGTTACCTCACTGATATGGATAAGGTAAAGTCTCCCTTGATTCAAGCTCCACCCCTGGTGACTTCATGAACATGTCCACATGCCCTTCTGGGATGTTTTTCCAATTTCAGAGTCTAGCCTAAAGCACTGCAATTTCCTGGTCTTCTCCCATCCATGTACTAATCAGGTCTGGCCTTGCTTAGCTTTTAGAGATCAGCCAACATTGGCTAGGTACTGCCATCTAGCTAGGTTAAAAGGAATTGACTGAATTGATACTAATAGTTGAAACTCATAGGCATGTTTTAAAAATTCAGTTGCCTCTTACTAGCAGTTTTCTCACAATGCAATAATGTTCCCCAAAACTTAGTTTGAGAATTGCAATGTAGCCATTCAAAATCAGGACATCTACTCTGATCATGCCATGGCTCAGCAGTCCCTTGAAGCTAATCCAGGTAGACTTTGGGAACCCTGGACTAACTTAAGACTTTAAAACATTTCCTGAGTAGAACTTGGAGCTGTCTGTATTGCTAAAGCAAAATTTCAGTAGAGTGAAAGTTCAACCCATAGAAGTACAAGAGCTAGACATGTTTGTTATGTATTTTCAGGGAATGAACAATATTTCAGGGGATGGGTATGTATGCTCCTTGCTGTATGCTACCAGCTCCTTGCCATTCCCACCTGGCATTTTTAATTCCTCAGGATGTTTTGGAATTTAAATGGCAGCTGCCAACAATGATGCTCATTTCCCCCCAAATACTCCTCCAAATTATGCCACCCACATTCCTGGAATATTTTGAAGAAATGTTTGGAATCCAAAAAAAGCCATGAGGAAGCCACAAATGTTCTTTATTGAGTGCTACCTTCAGATCAGTTCAAAAAAAGTTGCAAATAATTAAATAGGTATTTATAATTCATTGTCTCTAGACTAAGGAAATTTATCTTCAATAGAATTTAAAAGAAATAAGATTTTTATTTTTACTTAATGAGTGTTTTAATTCACTGTTTTGCAGACAATAAACAGGACTGAAAAATGTCGGTCAGCAAAGTTTGCCTTGAATGGAAAAACTTCACTGAACAAGAAGTTGGCTTCCAGTTTGCACAGGCGTCAACATTTTTTTTTTCATTTTCTACCTTACCCAACAAGAGTGTTTCTGTGTGCTGTGCAAATTGTTCAGTCATGTAGTCTGATAGTTTTATTTTTGCTAATTTTTTTAATTAAAGGGGAAAAAACATGGCAAAATACTGGGTTGATATTTCATCTGAATGAACATTTGAAATTCAGAATTTACTTGGAACTGTACATATATACTTTTTGTTCGTTTTGTTTTATTTTTGTTTTCCAAAACAACAGAGAAGTGATGATGTCAAGAGGGAGAAACCTGAGATGAAAACCAGTGGTCTTCCTCAAGAATCCAGCTACTCTTCCCCCCTTGTTGAAATCAAGTGTGTCTTTCATTTTGGGTTTGTGTGCATATGTGTGATTTTTTTTAAAAAGAAATGTTTAGGTAAGATTTATCTTGAATCTTAATTGCCTTAATTTTAAGGACGTCAAAGGCTCTCAAGGCAAGCTGTCAACGTCTTGGTAGAAGAGAATGGATTCCAATGTACACCTGGATCAACTGGTGCTGAAGTTCAACAGACTGAATTTTTAGGGTGAACAAACAACAACAAAAAATTAAAAACTGTACAGTTTAGCAGAAAATGTTTTTTTCTTCTTTTGAAGAAAAACTGTTGATAAAGGAACTGTGACAACTTCAAGAATTGAAAAAAACAATGCGAAGACTTTTATGAACTTTCTTAGTGTTGACAGAGAAGATCTAGAAGGCTAAAGTGTTTTACAATAAAATTATTGAAGGGGGGGGAGGTCAACTTGCATTTTAAGGAATTGCAGGGGGGGGGGTT